AGGTGCGCAGCTAGCTTACCTGTACAGGTGCGCAGCTAGCTTACCTGTACAGGTGTTCAGCTAGCTTACCTGTACAGGTGTTCAGCTAGCTTACCTGTACAGGTGCGCGGCTAGCTTACCTGTACAGGTGCGCAGCTAGCTAACCTGTACAGGTGTTCAGCTAGCTTACCTGTACAAGTGTGCAGCTAGCTTACCTGTACAGGGCTGCAGCTAGCTTACCTGTACAGGTGTGCAGCTAGCTTACCTATACAGGTGTGCAGCTAGCTTACCTGTACAGGTGTGCAGCTAGCTTACCTGTACAGGTGTGCAGCTAGCTTACCTGTACAGATGCGCAGCTAGCTTACCTGTACAGGTGTGCAGCTAGCTTACCTATACAGGTCTGCAGCTAGCTTACCTGTACAGGTGTGCAGGAGCTTACCTGTACAGGTGCGCAGCTAGCTTACCTGTACAGGTGTGCAGCTAGCTTACCTGTACAGGTGCACAGCTAGCTTACCTGTACAGGTGTGCAGCTAGCTTACCTGTACAGGTGTGCAGGAGCTTACCTGTACAGGTGCGCAGCTAGCTTACCTGTACAGGCGCGCAGCTAGCTTACCTGTACAGGCGCGCAGCTAGCTTACCTGTACAGGTGTGCAGCTAGCTTACCTGTACAGGTGTTCAGCTAGCTTACCTGTACAGGTGTGCGGCTAGCTTACCTGTGCAGGCGTGCGGCTAGCTTACCTGTGCAGGCGTGCAGCTAGCTTACCTGTACAGGTGCGCAGGAGCTTACCTGTACAGGTGTTCAGCTAGCTTACCTGTACAGGTGTGCGGCTAGCTTACCTGTACAGGTGTGCAGCTAGCTTACCTGTACAGGTGTTCAGCTAGCTTACCTGTACAGGTGTGCAGCTAGCTTACCTGTACAGGTGCGCAGCTAGCTTACCTGTACAGGTGCGCAGCTAGCTTACCTGTACAGGTGCGCAGGAGCTTACCTGTACAGGTGTGCGGCTAGCTTACCTGTACAGGTGTGCGGCTAGCTTACCTGTACAGGTGCGCAGCTAGCTTACCTGTACAGGTGCGCAGCTAGCTTACCTGTACAGGTGCACAGCTAGCTTACCTGTACAGGTGCGCAGCTAGCTTACCTGTACAGGTGTGCGGCTAGCTTACCTGTACAGGCGTGCAGCTAGCTTACCTGTAAAGGTGTGCGGCTAGCTTACCTGTACAGGTCTGCAGCTAGCTTACCTGTACAGGTGTGCGGCTAGCTTACCTGTACAGGCGTGCAGCTAGCTTACCTGTACAGGTGTGCGGCTAGCTTACCTGTACAGGCGTGCGGCTAGCTTACCTGTACAGGTGTGCAGCTAGCTTACCTGTACAGGTGTGCAGCTAGCTTACCTATACAGGTCTGCAGCTAGCTTACCTGTACAGGTGTGCAGCTAGCTTACCTGTACAGGTGCGCAGCTAGCTTACCTGTACAGGTGTGCAGCTAGCTTACCTGTACAGGTGTGCAGCTAGCTTACCTGTACAGGTGCGCGGCCAGCTTACCTGTACAGATGCGCGGCCAGCTTACCTGTACAGGTGTGCAGCTAGCTTACCTGTACAGGTGTGCAGCTAGCTTACCTGTACAGACGTGCAGCTAGCTTACCTGTACAGGTGCGCAGCTAGCTTACCTATACAGGTGTGCAGCTAGCTTACCTGTACAGGTCTGCAGCTAGCTTACCTGTACAGGTGTGCAGGAGCTTACCTGTACAGGTGTTCAGCTAGCTTACCTGTACAGGTGCGCAGCTAGCTTACCTGTACAGACATGCAGCTAGCTTACCTGTACAGGTGCGCGGCTAGCTTACCTATACAGGTCTGCAGCTAGCTTACCTGTACAGGTCTGCAGCTAGCTTACCTGTACAGGTGTGCAGCTAGCTTACCTGTACAGGTGTGCAGGAGCTTACCTGTACAGGTGCACAGCTAGCTCACCTGTACAGATGCGCAGCTAGCTCACCTGTACAGGTGTGCAGCTAGCTTACCTGTACAGGTGTGCGGCTAGCTTACCTAT